CCCTTTTTGGTTCTTAGCTTATGTCTTTTATTTTCTCTCTAGAGTAAGGTGGATGTTATTTACATTTTCCGGCAACTTTTTCCGGTGACTTCTCGTTTATGCAAGTTTTAATCTTTTTCTTCCGACTTCGATCAAGCATGCGTTAGGGATGTGAGTACTTACTTTTAAGCCTTGTGATTTCGATTTTCGTACTTACTTGCTATCTCGTGCGTAGAAGTAATTAGGGCTTGCTCGATTATCGGATTTTAGTAGCTATTTTAGTTAATTTCGTTTCCCTTGCTTTTGTGAGCCCGTTTATGATGCTTGGAGTTGATTGATTGATTGATTGCTATTAGAAAAATCAGGACTTCATATTTAGCTCGGTTATTTCGTGGTAGGATTTTGATTTTAGCTATCAAGCATGTTAAATGGAGTTCGATTCTCTTACTTTCGCTTTTGTTGCCCTTGGCTTTGTGCACCGGTTTAGTTGATAGAGTTTGTAGTATGTTCACTTGCTCGTTGCTCGTTACTTGCTTTCAATAGTCGTAATTAGTGTTAATCAACCTCAACCCAAATTGATTAGTATGTCTAGGACTTTATTTTCCATTTTTGTGATTTGAGCGGTTGAATAGTGAGTAAAGCTCCGAATAGCCTTCCCTCGAGATCGACCCGAGTCGGATAGCTCGGTTATACCTTGCCCATCAAATCTATACCAAACAAATTTTTTTGCTCTCTCCTCTCTCTAGTTTTCTTTCTCTCTCTAAGGGCTCTAAGACCCTATTTTTATTGTAATATTTCTCCATCAAGATTACAACTTTTTGGCTTATTTCTTCTCGTGGATGCATTAGAGACGTGGAGACTTCGCTTAAGGTTCATGATTTCGTTAGTCTTGCTTGTCTTTACTTATTGAGTTATTCTAGGTTTAAGATATGCACATCCATTAGTCGATTATGCTATCATCCTCGTAGGCTAGGAATTATGTGATATTGTTATTGATTGCGTGAGCGAGAATTGATTGAGAGATTAATTGATCACGAGTGACTATTGCTTGGTTGCATGTTCCCGAAACTATGAGGGCCTTCTTTCCATCTCGGGTCTAGGAGTATCTTGTTCTTTTTCTCTTAATTTTCCCCTTTCTTGCAATTTGAGGTCTTGCTTGCGATAAATTGTGAATCTTGCTTTCATCTTAGTTAAAATTGCGTTCTTAGCTTAATCCAAACCCCAAATTGCGAGTAGAGTGTTTAGGATCTTTATTTTATTTTCTTGTGTGAGTCGATCGTTGCTTGAATCCGTGTCCATATAGCCTTCCTTTGAGAACG